ATTTTCTCTTCAACTATTGTTTCATGTTAATCGTGACGAATTTCCATTTGCAAATGTAATACANAATAAGATAATTGACTAATGACATTGGTGTTTAATCGCTTGCGGTACCTTACACTAAGAAAAATACGAATTCGCGGTCATGGACATAACCAGGTTCGTTAAGGTCCGATATTGTTTCGTCTTGTGTGTTACCTGAGTCGTAATCGATTTTAACTTCTGGTTAAAATATAAGGTTATGTCCATTTTACAAATTATTTTAAAGTTACAATTATGGTACTTCAAAGAAGGATTTTTATTTTCATCTAGTTTGTAAATATACCTTGTCATGCCATCTAACATAGCTTTTTCGTTTTGGATATTGAAATGGTTCTCAATCAAATGTTATACAGTGATATGTCGCTCAAAGTTGGATCATCCAGTCGTACAACAGGGGGGACAGTCGTTCAAATTATTGCAATACACAAAGTAAGTATTGTTTCATAATTAAATGAATCTTGATTAATTTAAGAAATGAATAAACGTATGGTCTCTAGATAGCAAAATTTAAATAAAAGTAAGAAAAACTCCAGTGAAAATTGAACGATTCCGATAATTCAATGGATTCAGTTTTGTGTCCTTTCTCAATAGCTTACAAAAAACCAAATTTACATTAAAGGGACAATTTAGTGAAGTAAGTTTTTTAAAAAACCTTGTCACAAATTTCTTCACTATTATATAGTTTGATACTCCTAATGAACAATTCATGTCGAGAAATTGACAAAAGACAATGTTTTCTTGGCGTTTTTAATCAGTAATGGAGAATTCCTGAACTGTACAGCCGTACGTTTAAGCTGTTTCTGAATTTCTAGCTAACAAAAGTGACTTTCCAGTCGAGGAGAGAAGGTAACTTCACGCTTAATTCACCTCGCCTTTCTGGAATACAAAAACATGCATTAAGAATAAAAATGAGTGATCTTTTTTACGTTTAAACCTATTGATATCGTACCTTTTGCGGTTTGAAAATTATCCCTACGGCACCCTCTCAGTGCATGCATGGTTTAATTGAACCGGTTCCTTTTTATTAAAATCCACATGTGAACAGAAATACCCGATTAGAGGTATTGCGATGCATTGTGTAAATTCAAAAACGTGTAATGACTCATAACTAACACCGTGTTGTCGGTCGACAGCGTAGTGCTGTACATGTTTACTTCTCACTGAAAGGTCCAGATATTGCGCTATTTTGTCCGTAGCTATTTTTATCATCGGCTTTATCAAAAGATAAAAAATGACCAAAAAGGATGTTGGCTTCACGTCATGTAACTATTAACTACGTAATCGTTCGTTAGGAGATGTACATTTTCAGTATCGACTCGATTTTCAGGTTGTCATTTGACTTAATAGCCCATTTAAGGTATTGACTTGTCTTTCTTTATCTGCTTTATGCCATGTGTTTAAGCCGTGTATTAAATAACCACTATCTAACGATGAAATAACAAATCTACGATACTCATTTAATCGACAGTTTATGCAAATATAGTTAAATAATAGCATTAGTGGTATATTCTCCGATATATATCAGCAGAAAAGAAAGATAACAATAAATTTAAGGCATGAGGACAGAACAATTCCGTTGCATAATGTATCTATTATAATTTTAAAGGTGAATCGCATGATTGTTTTACAACATGTTCTACTTCATTTTTTTGACAACAATATGCATTTTGACAGCATGAAAGTTATAGCGGATCCTCATCAGGATTTCCTAACGATATAGCAGTCCTTGAGACTGCCAGTTCTCTGACCAATGATGCGAATGCCGAAAAAGCTGATCTTCCCGATGCGAACAACAACTACAGCGGAGAAGACTGTCAAATTACCGGATGGGGCAGAACCTCCTCAACTAGCAGTCAGTTTATATCATGTTGACTATAAAACTATCATATTTGGATACAGCAGATGGTTTTCTCTTCAACTAATGTTTCATGTTAATCGTGACGAATTTCCATTTGCAAATGTAATACATAATCATTAATACGCTAAAATTAATTTAGCAATAATAATGATTTCATGACATAAACAATTATATTAATATTCACTATTAATCGTTGTACCAAGAAGATATGCATCACAAACTCAACGGTTTTATCATTAATATAGTATTTGTTATTTCAATTCAGAAAAAAACATCATTATTTTCTGAATATACCATATATATCAATACGTTTTCACTACTATTACTATTATTATTAAATGCTTAACGGTCCATCAAACACAGGATAGGTCATTAGGGCCAACAAATGGTCGAATAAAACAATTGGAAAATAAAAATATCAAACAAACTTAAAAGAAAAACGTCAATTTGAATATTGAAAGTGGCTATGATGAGTAAAATTTTATTAAAAGACATTCACTAAATAATATTGATATGCATTGCAGGTCTTCCAGCTACCTTGCAGGTGGCAAACACCAAAGTGATGACGCAAAGCTCATGCAAGCAATCTTGGGGGAATTCGATCAACAATGGTCACGTGTGTGTATATACTGGCTCCAACGGTGCATGCAATGTAAGTAAATGTTACAATGTTGGTGGATGATGAGTGCTCTTATTTTCTCTCACCTCACATGAACATTCCCATTTTTGGTTTGGAAAAGATTCATCTTTTTGTTTTAAAAAATAGATTGTTCTGAAATCGTGTCATCACTTATGCAGCGTTACCAGATTCACCTCATCANAAACGGTGCATGCAATGTAAGTAAATATTACAATGTTGGTGGATCATGAGTGCTCTTATTTTCTCTCACCTCACATGAACATTCCCATTTTTGGTTTGGAAAAGATTCATCTTTTTGTTTAAAAAAATAGATTGTTCTGAAATCGTGTCATCACTTATGCAGCGTTACCAGATTCACCTCATCAATTTTGTCGCAGATTTCATGCGCCACTGATGTTAACGCGGTGCACTGTGTTCAGAGTATTTTTCCAGAACACAGAGTATTTGTCCTGGCTCATAAATTGAATCATAGAAAGGTACAACAATAAATAAGTGTGATTGCAATAATTTAAATGGTAGGGGATAAATAATTAAATCGCCTAGATAAACGTTTTATGCAAAAATCAAGATTAACATAAAATATAGGGGTTTAATCGGTAGGACGTGTTACAAAATTCTTCTATTTCACCGTAAGATATATGGACAATGGTGTTTTTTTGTCTTAAAGTAGAAATTAATTGACCACAACGAAACTTAAAATAAATGGCAAAACAGGCTCGTCTTAATCAGCCGTTTACATTGATGTGTGTTTATAACATAAACCATCATGGACGGCTTGCAGCTAAGCTATATGAGAAACGTGACCGTTTTCGTTATACCTAATATTAACTCTCCCTTCCTTGATAGTAACATCCCTGTTTATTCCACCTTCGCTGATTACATGTGGCGGTTGAATTGATTCAATATTCAAAAGCTTGTTAGGAATATTACAATGTCTATGATAGATGTCGAATACTGATGGATACACCTACAGCTAAAGGTTTTGACGGATGCAGGTTAATGACGGATATTTGCGAGTATTAAGGTCGCTGCAAATATTTATTAGGGAATAAATAAAACTTCTCTTGCTCTGTGATTATCGTCATCTATTATTGTGCTAATGAGTGTGGCCTTCCCGTGCCCTCAATTTCAGGACGTATAATCAGTAGGATTGGACATAGATTCAGATGGCGGGCGCATTCAATTCTGTAAAAGCTGCTCAACCTTCCAGAAAAAATGGTCCTATTCCCCTTTGTCATTTTTTATCGATCGCTTTGTCAGGTTTTCCTTATTCTTATCTTATTTAGCCACAGTTTTATAAAGTAAGAGTTCAAATTACAGTTTTGTTCGTGCTTCGAATATAGCAAAAAATAAAACTTCTATGAAAAATGAGAGCTATGAATTATAGTTGAAAATATTCTACTCCTTGCCATGTATTTATCGTGATTATCTTAATTTCGCTCTATTCACAAGATGGTGAGATCGCAAAAATAGGACACTGTTTTAATCATATACCGAAAACTGCCACGTACTTGCTTGATAGTATAAGTGAGGAGATACACAAGCAAATGTGAAAATGTGGAAATTTAATTTTTGAAACACAAACGCAAACTTTGCATCACGAAAGGTAATCGGGTATACGATAATTTTATTTAAAATTATGGAATGTTCAAAATTAGAAAATTCGTAACTACGATATGTTTCGGTTGTTGTGAAGGAAAATCGCGTTAGCAAATTTATTATTGCTATGTGCTAAATTGTGATGCTAATTTTCATATATGATTTTACGAACACATTCTCACCCTTATATAAGTTATATATCAAATGTATAAATAACATTTAAAAAAATTACAACATGTTATTTTAAGGTTTTAAAACAACGCCTTTTTATACTAAAAGATATGCAAAGGATACCGAGAACAATTCCTCAGATATTTATTCAATTCAATATTCAATATAAAGAAACAAAAGTGCAGAATATGGAAGTCTTTGATTACAAATTTACTTATTCAGTATTCTACAATATTTGCCGTGTACACATTTAACATTGTTCCTAAAGGGCGACAGTGGTGGACCTCTGACCTGTAACAGTGTACTTGTTGGTGTTACGTCATGGGGAAGAAACGGCTGTTCCGTCAGCTATCCCAGTGTATACACCCGGATAAGCCATTACCTTACTTGGATCAACACCAAAATAGGTCAAAAGAAAACTGTCGCGTAGATATCCGGCTATGCTACGCCTAATCGCGGCAGTCTGACATTTCTGTCCATGTTTTGCTTTGAATAAAATAATGATTAACTTAAACATTTTCGTGGTTTTTTGTTATATATTTAATCAACTGCTTCACACTTTTTTCATTACGCATCGTACATCTTTTGCTAATATGCTGTTATCGTTAAAATACTATTATTGGAAAAAGAATATATGTACTGCCAATTTTTACCTTCGTTCCTCTTAATTCAATTCTCATATTCATGAACGACTTACTTGTCGTTATCTGTGCTAAAGGTATGAACAGTGTGCTATTGCTTTTTCGGGTAAAACTTGCAAAAAAGTACACAGCATAAACAATAACACGAAACATTAGCAGCTCTGAAGAGCTTCTCTTGCGACAGATCATGTGGAAAATATCACAATGGGCATATATGTAACGAAACTAAAATGTATATAAGCGCGATAGTCAAAGCACATCAGAACACACCAAAGAACATATACTCAGAGGACATGTGGTTGGGTAACCCCTACCTATAATAATATTATTATTGTTATTAATGGTTAACGGCCCATCAACACAGGATAGGTCATTAGGGACAACAAATGTTCTCGAGTTGACTGCAAGTTGATACAATCTAGTAACAAGAGCTTTACTGTAAATGGTTCTTTACACGCCATGCATTGATGCTAGACTTCACGTTTTAATAAATAACAATGAGTTATGTATGGACAACCTCGTCTCGGCGCCTCTCTCTGTAGCTAGGATGCCATTCACCGATTTCAGGTTAAATATAATGTAATTTGTTATTGATGCATTAAATTCCAATTATTTTGCCCCTGCGATCTTATAAATGTTGTTACTAGTGATTGGAAATCAGTAAAATGATGTTTAAAATCTCCAGGTGGTAGTGTTAGTGCTGATTCAGCGGCACGATCTGCCTTTTCATTACTTGGTACACCCACATGTCCGGGAACCAAGCAAAAGGCAATATAACATTTTCAGGTAATATTATGTAATTCTGATAAGATTTTTCGCATTGAGATATTCTTCAATTTCTTTTTGCGAAGGCTCTGTAGAACAGATAGAAAATCAAATAGATAACTGATTGCGGTACATCATTTGATTTAATTTGCTCAAGGCCGAGATAAATAGCAAGGGCTTCTGCGGAGAATATTGACGCATCCAATAGTGGCATCTTTCGCTACAATCGCTGCGGCAACTTTACAGTATAAAACGACTGAAAGTCCTTATATTTTTACTGTTGTTTTGAGAAATTTTAACGAAAAGGTAAGATTCGGTATCAGATTTGGATGTCTCATGAAGTGAGATATCCACTACCAGTGAAACCAGTAGCCACGGAGGCATATCAATCGTTGCAAATTGTGTCGATATTAATTTGGGTATTTTCCAGAAGGGATGAAATTCGAATACCAAAGGTTGAAATTCAATTTGGTTTTTGTTTTGAGATAGAGTTTTGTAATTTGGATTGAAAACAAGTAAATAGGCTGGATTTGAAGGGTTTTACTTTAATTTGACTGCATATTGCCGCGATAATTTCTTTCCGCGAATATATAATGACGGTTTGTTTGCTTCCACGTAAAGACTTGCAAATGGTGTGGTTTTGAACGCTCCAATTGCGAGTTGCATGCCTTGGTAATGTACAGTGTCCTGCATTTTTAAATATGACTTTCTTGCGGATCCATTACCAATGGATCCATGGTCCTCTGATAATAAGCAGTATTAAGAATATTTATGCAAACAAAAAATTGATAATTAAAACAAATGCTATAATAAACAAAAGACGTTTCAAAATATTTAAAAGCAGTAAAAAGGACTATTCATTCAGCAGATAGTTCAGTACAGATGGGGGACGTACAAATGGGGAAATATTAAGCATAATTCAGCCTGAGTTCTGAGTTAACAGAATATAATCAACAACAGCAGGTATAAACAATTCTGAAATTAGGTCAGGCCATTGTGTATACAAAAATAATAGTGCTATGAGACAGGGATTCTTAAATGTGGTAATATCTTTATATCAAACATTTTAAAGTTTGTGTAAACTATCTCCATTTAAATAGACTTTGTGTAATGTCTTTGAATAGTGTTTTCATCTATTTCTCAATGATTTTAAGAAATCATTATAACGTTTTCTGTATGTTTAGCTCAAATATTTATATTTCTACTCGGCCGCGATACTGTGCTTGGTATCTTCCTTATAGTATTTCAGTGAGATAGCATTCTTAAAATCGGCGTCAGATCCGTGATTCGCAGAAAGACAAATACGTCAACACAAAGCTGCTTGCACGTACGCACATATAACACAGAAGCATGTCATCATTTGTCATTGGGTGTTAAACCCAAAGATACCGTTTGTTTGGTGGGGTTTATAATGCCACCATAATATTTCATTTCAACGGCAATTTGATTCTAAGAAGCCCCACCATCATAGTCAGTGATCATTCTTACATACAACAATGTAACGTATTTAACAAACTTCAAATAGACTTATCATTATTACAACAATACAAAGGACGCAATGCCTTATTTTGATACAGTAAAGAGCTTTACAATATATACATTTAATAAATATGTATATGTCATTTAAACAAATATTACAATTAATGCAATATGAGGACATACTAGCTGCCTCATCAGTAGATAACAAATTGTCAAAAACGATTTGGCTCATAACTTCACAATTCGTTTACCTGCGTAGGTGCTGGATGTGTACTTCAGTGTCATAGCAAAGACACTCTTGTACTTAAACCAGACAATTCTCATTCATTGTCACTAAGTATTGAGAGCGGTAAATATCCCTTTTCCTGAATTATATTCATCGACGACTTCGGAGATTAAATCCATATATGCAAGTATGTGCAAGGCTTACATGGCTTACTTCAAAGTAATTGATCGTACGTGAGTAACTGGAGGATTAGAAATCTCCTAGCAGGCGAGTACAGTAAAGTTTCATAGTGGATACAGAAAAAACGTAATGTTAGGGTATTGTAAAAAAATATTATATAAAAACGGCTGCCTGATTCAAGAGAAAAATTCAGGAAAAATTTATGATTGAAATGTTGTGTAAATTGTATTTGTATTGTATGTACTATCTCAGATTGAACATTTTAAGTTCATATCAATCTTTCGGGCTCTTTTGAAAAAAACACCCAAAAACCCAAGGTCGTTGAGTTCAAGATGTTGTCAATAACAATGGAATGTTATTCAAAATGTTCAAAAAATATTAATTCAATCTGTAGAAGGAGACAGAACGCAAGTGAATAAATAAAGTCGTATGTACAAACACGTGACGTGGAAAGCTACACGAGGTTTCATACAGACACACGCCATTACTGTTACCAAACACTGAGGGTCAAACGTGTTTGGAAACCACAACTGCTTGGACAGTAACCAATTTGACCAGATATAAATAAAATGCATATGTAGTAATTACAACTGCAGTCAAGTCATAATTTTGTGTATGTGTGAGGAGAAATTATTAAATAAATAGCCGTTCAGCTTAAATTACACATACACGTGAAGATGAATATTACGTCTGAATACGAATTTAAGTTTTAATAACAAACTAACTATGCTTTTAGTTTCAGACATATATTGGCAACACCTGCTATTCCTTATGCTAATTTTCTTATCTGACTACTGGACAGTTGTGCATATATATATCTCAGGGAAACACTTGTGTAATTTCATTATCGCCTAAATTCGGGCTAACTAAGGGACATGTACATGTACCGATTCATATCTTGTCATACGTGAGGGACGGATACATCATCATTTATAAAATATACTCAAGCTAACCATTAGTGGGCAGACAAAAATGGCTTACACAAACGCAATTCCAATGCCATTCTTTTTATTTTTGTTTGTTCAATTATTCAACGTTTCGAGTAGTGGATCTCCACATCTCCTCGGATCCTTTCACGTTAATCAACCCGGATATATTGCAGTGATTAATTCAGAAAACAGCACTAGTCATGCCCTCTTAATTTCGTCCTTCAATGGGATTCCGTTCACGGCAGACCATTTATATCGTGTAACAGACGTCCGGACCCATCTTGGAAGTCTGTCTAACATCCATCCGGATCTGATAACTACAAGTGTAACTTGGCCGAATGAAGTGAATGTGATACCACGTAAGTTTAATAGAAATCATCAATTTTCAGGCCCAATAATCAAACAAAAATGCTGAAAACAACTATACTATTACTAATGCTATTTTGCGCTTCTTCTATCACCATATGGTATAAGAAGATTTGCATTTCGCAAATTATTAAAACAAATATCTTGTTTATTGTTGCTGCATAATTATTTATTGAATTGACAAAGTGTCGATCATCTCGCCTCGAAAATTGACGCAAACCCAAGTTCATCGCTAAATTTTAGTCGTATACATTTGGGGATTTTAACTGCGTTTGATGTTAATTTGCTATGTATTCACTAGTGTGCTAGACAAATATCCTTACATGAAAGTTTATATACTGTATTATGTTCATTTGACTTTCATCAACATGCTATTTGAACAACTTGTTTAAAGAAAGTTTCGCTGAAGTTGTGTTTGAACGAGTTGTTAAAATGAAATGTCCTTTTCTGTATCTAAAGTTCCATGTTTCACTGTTTACCCATCTTCCTTATCTCTCTCCGCTAATAACTTTGTTTAACTTAATATAATATGCTGTGTCTAAACTGACCTTTTCAACCATCTTCTGTATTCAAACTATTCGGGATAAATAACATCTTGTGTAAAAGATGTAACAGAATGGGTCAATAATTAAGCAATTAATAAAGAACCTCAGACCATATCATCGGAACGTAGAAGGTATTTATCTTGAGCAGCACTTTGGTCAGTTCAGGCCAAATCTATAACCTGGTTAACGCGATGCCGTTATTGACAGTTCGGCTGCTGCAGGGGCATATATAATGTAGTACAGGTAGGTACATATATTGACAGATTTGTTTGGTTTGGTTTAGTATTGTTTAACATCATATCAACAGCTATGGTCATTTAAGGAGGCCTATCCTGTGTGGAAGATGCATGCGTGTAGTGTATGCGTGTGTTTTTGGGGGGGCTGCGATATGTTCGGGCAGAGAACGGGGAAATTCGGTAAGCCCATGCTTTTCAGTTATACCTAGTTTGACGTAATTTTCTTCCTCAGATGATGTTTTTGACAGTTCAATGGTAGCAGTGGCTGGTGGATTCCTTGTGCCATTCAAAACGAAAGGTACCATAACTCTGTTTAATACAACCGGAAGTACTGTAAAAGGACCATACGAGATAACCGGAAGTAAAACTGACCATGATTGGTTCTACCATCGTGTTAGATGGACCGATATGAATGGAGATGGCGTTAAAGATGCCGTTACATGTCGAGGAAAGAAATCGACGTTTGGCAAGTATTTGTAATCGCTGCTATACTTATAAAACTATGATATAAAATGTCACGAGTACATAATGTATTACAAAGTGTCAGCTTTCATTAACAATACTCTGTCGTGTAAATGAAATGTTGATATATATTTGTTACTGCACAAAAAAAATGTTTTTTCGAAATATTATCTCGGGACTATCTTTGAGGACATGGCATTGTCTAAAATTTGCCTTGATTTACATGGCGGGTGTCGCAAATGAAACCGCAAAAGCGTACACTACCGGAACAACTGACCTTATTGGATATTTATCTTTCCTGTCTTCTTTCTTCTTTTTTTTTCTACTGTATTTCCGGCGCTGTCTCTGTAGGCGCCCGTCGTCAAATGACCTTGATCATTGCGGGAACGTTAAAACCTTAACAGACACATTTTGTTTGTTCATTTTAGTATTATCGTGTTTCCATTAAGCTACATAAACCAAATTTTCTCTGGTAATCTGTTATTGTTTCTCTACTTATTCCCGTATTTTCTCAATGCACCTATATTTTCCTCAGTATTATCATAAAAGTATGTTTTATGAATGTATTATCATTTTTCAAACGTGCAATACGTGAATACGTCAAAATGATCATGAATAGAGACATTGTCCATCTTAATTTGGATACCGAGTCATGTTGGAATAACTGGAAATGAGAGTTGGTTAGGGTTTCAAAGCAGCATTTTACATAGCAACGGACGTTATTATACTGCCTTAATTTTATATCAAACCTTCCATGACAATCTTTGTTTATAAATCGAATTGGGAACATAAATGTTCGAAACAAACGAATAAAATGTCATTTTCAATTCAACCTATGTCAATATGACCATAGCGAGAAGGTTTGCACTCGTGACTACATTTAACAAAAAGAAAATCAACCTTCTTGTCATAATTGCATAAACTCTAAAACATTAAAGAAACTCGTGAGTTATTATATAATATGATAACTATGAAGCATTTGTTTGATACATCGTTTGTGCCATTACGATATGATTATTTACATAGAAACATATGAAATATGGTTTTACAACTTATTCGTTTGCTATTGATATTGTTTTCAATCGTTTTAACATATTGATTTTTTTCAAATTGATATATTCCTTTTCGTGAACGTCTTTTCTATTGTTCTTGGATCTTTAATCTCTCAAAATGGCGGTGGGCGGTAAAACGCCTTTCGGACAAGATCTGCATGCTTGGACAGTAAGTTCGTATACAATTAAATAATTGTAATAACTTTTTTTCAATTTAGGTGGGTCAAGCGGTCAACTTGTTTGGTTTGAACATCCCAGGTTGTTCCGCGATAATATGTTGTACCCATGGACAGCCCATGTCATCGGTGATGATTCCGATACTTTTTTCGACATTACGACACTTCCGTCCTCTGATGGGATGCTGCCGTGCATTATAACAACGGGGTATTTTTCAAATAAACTAAAAATCTACTGGACAACTGACCCAAATGCTTCGTGGAATGACCTTACCACGGTAGGCAAATTTAATGTTATTTCGATGTCATATTGGTTGTATTTGATATTTTGCTTAAAAGCTATATTCATACGTATACCTATACTGAGAAAATATCTTTATTTTGATGTATTGGATAGAGTTTTATTATTTCTGATTGTCATACTTAATTTATTAAATTAATTGCAATTAACCAGTACTCCTCAAAATGTTAAAATCTATCAAATTAGGATGTTTAACGTATCTCCTCTCCTGAGTCAACGAAACAGATGTATGATGCAATGTACACGAAATTCATTCTTGGCAAACTGTATCAAATTTCAATGGTATAATGTTACAAGGTTACACAGTATGTAACGCTCATCATTTATACTATATATATATATATATATATATACCCAATCTCTCAAGATCGTAGAAATATTTGTGATTGCCTCGCTTCATGATAAAAAAAAAGTAGTGTCATCCGGCATTTAACATGCGTTGGCTTTGTATTAGTGTTATTGTACACTTATAGGCTTTTTACTTAGTGAAAATGCAGTAACAATAGATTACCATATTGACCGAGACGATATTACGTAAAGAGGAATGCATTAACAAAATAATTGATTACTGATATTACTTCATATTCAATAAAGGCCTTTCAGACAATCAGAATCAGTTTATAACATTACTTTTAAGATAATTGCATATTGGTGTTTATTCAAGATTCATTCACGGATAATCGAGAGCAGCATCGGTCACGTGTTCGATGTTCAAGTGGCTGATCTGAACGATGACGGCAACGCTGACCTTCTGGTGACTGCTAACGGGATATCACAAACCGGACTGTATATATACGAAGTTCCCAGTGATTTCAGGTATGATGATACATATAAATATCCCGGCATAGCGAATTGTTCTTTGGTTTACGAGGTTTAACGTCTGTGCAAAAGTAAATGTCATATGGAGACGGATACCTAGTGAGCCAACGCCAAAAGGAAAGAGTAAGGTATTGACAAGGGAATCAAAATAGATCTAATGTGCTGCTATAGGGGCAGCGGATTAAGTTTTCTTTCTTCGATGACTCATACGAAAAAGGTGCCTAAAGAACACCCTCTATTTTGCAGTCCACAAAATGTATCTTTGCTTAGATTTGGTTCTAATTAGTTTAACGGCATATTAGCAGCTAATGTCTTTGAAGGACGTGTCTCCATGTGTGTTATGTATGCGTTCTTGCCTGTGTGCAGGAGGCAGGGTATGTTGTTGTATTTGCCTCCTTGTAATAGTGCGGATCTGATAGACAACACAGTACAGTATGTGACATTACTTGACTTTGTGTAACTATACACTATACTCTATTTTACAAGAATTATGAAACAAGTGTGTTTCAATTGCTCCCATTACTCTAATTACCCGATGAGCACACTGGAGGTAGCCCATGTGGTCATATAGCTGACCGCGTTTCATTTTACGCCCGAGTGAATGCGCTTTCCACTGCATCACCAGTCTACTATTTTAACTTGTTCACAAGTCTTGAAACAAAATTGATAAGGCTCACGTATGTAAGAAAACAAATGATGATCCATATACCAATATTAAAAGGTATAACAATACATCAAAAACTGTTTCTTTCGGATTACTATAGCTTGTTGTAATTTAATGAAAAGCTCCAACATACCCTGTCCAGGCACACATACACACATGCACGCTTACACAACACACATGGAGGCACGTCCTTAAATTACCTAAGCTGTTAATAGGACGTTAAATAATATAAAGCCAAACCATTAATAAAAAGTATAAAAATATGAAATAAATAAAACATAACAACAATGTTGTTTTAAGTGTAACACAACCACAAGGCTAGACAAGGATTCAAACCATGGACTTAAAATTGTTATGTTTCACTCAAACCAACCGAGCTACAAGGTCCTGGCCCTATTTCGCTGCAGTCATTTTCGAAACGAATTAAAGGGGAGATAATTGTATGTACGGCAAAAACGTGGAATTCATTAGTGTTTTGCTTGGAGTAGGACAGGTATCTTTAATGTCTTACAACGGTCGTATTGTATACGTGCTAGTGCCGTGGTTTGATATCAACAAATGCTTTTATCAAAATACGAACAAATTACCTAGCCTACACACTATATTAGGGTAATTCACAAACAGGATGGTTTGGTTTTATTTTGTTCAATTTTCTATTTACGCCTTCATACATGCAGTGTACGCTTTCATGTGTGTTTGTGTGCTGCATGCAGAACATGTTGGTGTATTGATTTCCTCGTGATAGCGCGGGTATGATGCCAACTTTTTAGTGCATTCTCACTGAAATACCAAGCCGAAATCACCCAGCACAGCATTCCGCCCGGTCATATTATACTGACAACGGGTGAACCAGTTGTTGCCCTTTCCCTAAATGGTGTACGTTAAACAGGGAATAACTACCATTTTAGGGACTTTTGAATGCCCCGGCCTGTAGACAGAACCCATTGCCTTCCTTCCATGGCCAAACGCTCAACATTCAAGCAAATAGTGAGCGTTTGGCAAGCAAGGCACTAGGAATTTAAAGGTAGTTTATAATAGGGAGAATTATGAAGACCCCAAATATTGCAATTGGTGCAGCAGATTTACTGTGGTCCCCGCATAAAGGGCACAAAAGCAAAATCCCACATTCTGATGTGGGTCCCTTCATTAGTCGCCTCTTAGGATACATGCTGTCGGTAACAGTATGTGAATTCTGTTTTTGGTCCCCGACCTGCAGGAGTGCCACACACAGGAAGGAGCTGTTTGTAGTTTACTTGGTTATTGTTATCATTAGCCCGATAAGAAAATCGTGAACAAAAGCGACATAGGTTCTCAACTGAGTCACCTTTAAGACACAATATTGACCCGACTGAACAGGATGGTTGCAACTTCCAAGGACTTTCCAATATCTAGCTGGCATTCTGCCAATTGACATGATAGGTTTCGGCGTCAAAAAGATCTAATACAGACGGATAAGTATGTTGTGTTAAGCAGACAAACTCTCAAGCACGCTTACTATCAGGACACTTTTAAAACAATAATTGGTCCATTAATTGGACAAACAAGCGATAACATACGCGTAATTTAAAAAAAAATACCTCTACAAATTAAGGGGATGAAGTGAGGTACACAAAATCACTTCCGGTCACACGAATCTATTTTTCTTTGTTTTGTTCTCAACACCCCTGAAGGAGGGGAATCGGAAAATTTTACACCTGCTGTTACCCACTGTGTGTATCGTAGAAGGCGACCAATGTGGGCACCCTGCAAATCAGAGGATTTGCTTTGGTGTCCACTATTTGCGGACACAAAAGCGACCAAAAAAATCTGCCTCGCCCATTGCAATATTTAGTAGCGCCTTGCTTGTCAAAACCTCACATTTGGCCTTGATGTTGAGCGTTCAACAAGATGAGGAAGGCAATGGGTTCTGTCCCCAGGCCGGGTCATATTAAAGTCATATACAAATGGTAGTTGTTATCCCCGCTTAACGTTCAGCATTTAGGGGAATGGCAACAACTAATTCACCCGTTGTCAGTATAATGTGACCGGGTGGAACGCTGTGCTTGGTGCCTGCGGCATGGTATTTCAGTGAGATAGCACTATAAAGTCTCATCAGATCCGCGCTATCACAAGGAGGCAAGAACACCAACATACCCTGTCTCCTGTATACACACACGCAAGCACGCATACACTACACACATGGAGGCACGTCCTTAAATGGCCTTAAATAGGACGTTGAACAAAATTAAACAAAACAAAACCTAACCTTTTATTCTCAAAATTCGCCTTTTTTGATCCGCTCGACATAATCGTGTTCAAATGACAGTGAACTTGCATTTAACAATTACTTCTGGTTTACTTTTTGCTAATCAATCGGTTGTGTTTTCTTACTTACCTTGTTACTTTGACTCGGAGTACTTTGGTGTTTAACCGTTCAGCGTGTTATTATGATAGAGGGCATTCAACATTTTCCAATAACTAAACATTATTTTTTATTTCTGTTTTATTTTGACTGCGACATGTAATTACGATGGTAGCTATCTTACAAATAGATTTGATAATTGAAACTATCAATAAAGGCTACAAAACAAGTATCCTTATCTATCACAAGACATTAGCCGATCATTGGTTTGGTTTTATTTTATTCAACTAACTATTGACAGCAAAGGTCATTTAAGGACGTGCCCCGATGAGCGTTGTGTATGTGTGCAGGAGACAGGATATGTTGGTGAACCTTGCCAAAGGGACCCCGCACGGCATTCCGCTCGATCACATTATACTGACAACGGATGAACCAATTTTGCCATTACCCTCAATGCTGAACGTTAATCAGGGAATAACAACTACCATTTTAAGAACTTTGGTATGTCCCGGCCTGGGAATAGATTCCATTGCCTTCCTCACCTGGGCGAATGTTCAACGTAAAAGTCATATGTGAGGTCACGGTGAACATTTAACATAATACAGCTGCCGTGTTGATGCAAGTTCGGGGAAATAACAGACACGCGTATCCAACTATACAAGAGACAGCTACTGCGCACAGAGTCACAGGTTTGCTGCTTTGTCTTCTGCTGAGGGAGCGTTGAAGAAACCAAAATTGATTTGCTGCCAACTTTGCAAAGCTTGGAATCTACATCTTTCCTTTTTAACTTCCCTACTCTTTCTCTACGGCGATGTCTGTCTAGTACCTCGTCTCCATATGACCTCGGCTGTTGCAAGGACGTTGAACGCCAAACAACCAACAACCTAACGTATCGATCTCCAGGGAAGCGACACAAACAATAACTATTGTTCTAAGACGCCTTTTTCTTCTGTGATATATTTATTACGCAACGAGAATATGCTCGGATTAAGCATTATGTAGTTGTTATTAAACTGTTTTATTTATTTCAGAACCGGTACATTTACACGACACGTGTTAAAATCGGATTTCCACAGTCATAACATCCTGCCGGGAGGTGGCGCTCCCGGTTCAGCCCAGATAATTAGGGAGGCAACTAACTCTACTGGGTAAGCATTCATTTGGTATACTTGTTAATGTTTCATATACCTGTTCCAGTTGCGATGTATTTTAAAACATAGCTGCATGCCTAAGTTTGAAGATACTTCATTTGACAAACAACCTTGATAATGTTTATATCCAATCTATTAACAACAAATATTATCACGTTAACACTTTAACGCAGACAGAAAATATTTTCCGGTTAAAATCGTTAAAAAGACAATTACTTTGGAAGACCTTTTTAAATAAACTGAAATCAATGGAATATCGAAGTATCGACAAAACAAGAATTAACAAAAAAATCAAAAACCATAAAACTATGAAAAAGTACAAAGATCGCATCAAGACTCTTGAAAAAGTAGAAGGAGAATAAGACAAGGTAAGCGGTTGATTTGAATAATTGAATTTAAATTCATTTCTAGAAAACCCATGATTCTGCTCTCCGGCGACGATGATAGTCGAGCATACTTGTTTTCCCCACAAAGCACTTCCGCTTCCGACTGGTCGTACCGGATGGATATCTTCCTCGATACGCACAGTGGAACGATCGGAGGCATGGCGTATAGTGACGTCGACGGTGACGGGTATCCGGAAATATTTGTTCCAGCGTACAGCCATAACTTGGTTTATGTATATACACTTAAACAATAAACACAATTTATTAACAACCGTGCTATAATTGTTTTTATCTAAAGTGTACATTAAGCGTAAACCTGAAACCAGAGAAGATCGACACACCAACATACGTTGATTCTTAATGTACATAGAATGTGTTAAGGGAGACAACCCCCGTGATTTACTGTGACAGAAAATAAAGAGTTACTCTGATTTCCTTGATGGGTGTACCACTGAACGATACTTAAGTATTATCTCCGTTTATTGTCACATTTATCTTAGTTGCCAAGTGTGGAACATACGTCGTCATTTCTCTAAGTAAATTTCTTCAACGGTATTTGCTAAAAGTATTTATTTTTTATTACATTCGACTGGACGCGAACATTACTAATTTAGGTAAAATGATTCTTTATTGTAAATGTTGATTAATAGATGGCGTTAAAAGACTTAGCATTTTTTCCGGAATTTCATGGTGATTACTATGAGGTCTCTAAATAAATATGCGTCAGCTCAATAGCGTGAATTTTGTTTTTTTTAATAATAATAAGCATTTGCCAATAGACCACGTGTTTAAATAATTATTTCCTCTTGAGTAGTGCAACGAAAGCATTCTTATCCATTTCTTTAATAAAAACTATCTCAGCAGTTGAAGGAACGTCCATAGATTTGTCAAACAGTAAAAGGGGGTAAATCATCCTAATAAGTTCCTAATTACCTGCGACATCAATGATATGCCTTATGATTCTAGCCCTGTCTTAAATGTAATCCTACACTTCCTGTAAACGATAGGGACATCTTAGTTTATCCTCCTTTTCTATAAAGGTTCCTTAAGGTTGATACCTTCCATAAGTCCCAATACCAATGAGTGACACATCCCTGTTAAAGCATTCAAGTATGAACCATAGAAAATATGACAATGCATATCAGTAATTATAAATTTATTACCATCTGTTTAGATATCTGTTTAAAACCACTATGAATATAAATGTATAATTATATAAATGGTTAACAAAATGAAGAAAACAGACAAAACTAGTTTTATTTTCAAATTGTTTATTCTAACGAAAACATTTTTCCTATCTTAAAAAACACAGCATGAGTTTGATAAAAAAATAAGCATTCTATATTATATATATTTTGCTTTTTTTATTAAATTTTTGGGCTCTTACTAAGAATATGTGTATTTATAATAGATATCTACTATACTAACCCAGATTAAAATTGACCGTTTTCCTTGTACTTCTTAATACGAATTTATAGCACAACAAATAAGTAATAAATTGATAAAAAAAATGTAGAAATCAATGACATGTTTTAAGATTGCCGGTTGAGTGTGGTCACGTTGGTCTGACGTTGTAGACTATCTCAAACTATTTCACAAATGATATTTGTAGAGATATACAAGTCCTTAACATGTTGAAATTTATACATTGAAACGATTTCAAAGTATTCTGTAAATCTAAAATTTACCACGACAAGGGATTACTATAAGCGGTGGGTGTGGCCCCCTGGAGGCAGAGAGGTTGGGTCCAATAGGGGAAATAGAGGTCAAATCTTTAAAATCCGTCTTCTTCCATAGGGATTAAGGTATTTCATTCCAATGTGGTATGGAGCATTGTTGGGTCAAGGCGACTAAATGTTGTATAAACGGTGGGTGTGGACCGCCTGTGGGCAGAGTTGCGGGGCCAAATAATGAAAATAGAGGTCTGAATCTTTAAAATCTTTCTTTTTCTGTACCATTGGAGGGAATTTATGTAATAAGAATAATTTCCCATGGTTGCTTTATTATCCAGGTGAGTGATACAGGCCCTCTGGGCCTCTTGTTTATTACATGCGAGTTACAGGAGATAACGAAGCTGCTTGAACACTTCGATTAATGTTTCTTGACCTTTTTTTAGTTAAAAGCAATACACATTCAAAACCAGTAAGAAACACGTGATCAATCAAAAATGTATATTTTATTATAACATCTGGCGTTGGTATCGCGACCCCTTGTTGGAATGCACTGCAGTTCCTTTTGATAGTATATACCTAAATAGTGGTTCTTGTTTTTAAACACCTATTGTCAACGAGATCGGCTTGTTTACTATAAAATCTGATGTTCCTTTCAATAAAGTAAAAATTCAAGGTACGAAAATGCAATACCTGTACAAATGTGTAAGAGCGAGATTAGCATATGATAAAGTTCCGTCTGAATCTAATTTTTCTACAATCACACAAGGAAAACGAAACAGAATATCGGGCGTTTGTAGTGCTCCTGAAAGCGTTTACCTTACACTTTAATTGTATTAACAAGATACAACATACAAGAAACTTTATTTAACGTCGCATACAGATAAACCCTTAAGGAGCCTGATATTTTGAGAGCTATTATTGTGACACATATATGTAAAATAACAATAACGCATTATATTACAAGTAAAGGAAGTTATCACATATATTATGAATACTATGAATTTATTGATCACTAATTTATTCAACTTAGGTGCATTAATATAAACAAGTATATGCCCTTAATTGACTACCCCTTTTTAAAAGTCGAACTTTGAATTTCAGTTGCAAATGAGAAGACGAATATGCTGCTGGTGGCATAGTAAGTTTTTATGCCGTAAGCTCTCTAGCCCTCAAGACAGACACATGCTTTTCCAAATATGGCGTTTTTCTCAACGAGAAAGTTAGGTTAAAAATTAAAAAAAAAAAATCTTAAATTATTTTGTAAAGGTCTCGTGTTATGCCACATATGCAGTCTGTATATTTTGGAACTGTGTATAGTAATTAACGTGCATACTGCTAAACCAATATTTCATTTCGGGTAAAGTGACATTGTGCTTATTTTCATAATGAAACAGTGACACTTTCAATGTTTGATACGGCAATGTAGTGATATTGCCATTCCTTTTAGACAAAGATATCACGACAATGATACTGTGAAACTTATAATATTTCATACGCCGATATATCGTTTAACACACAGATATTGTAACATTGTCATTATTTCTCAAGATTTTTTTTTAAATTTTTGATATTGTTTTCAATTTAATATTTCAAACTCTCCTTTCTAAATAACTTTCTTCTTCCTAATGTCTCCCTTGACAATGCCTCACTTTTGGCCATTTGTTGAGCGTTCGCCCCTGTGAGGAAGGCTTTGGGTTCTGTCCCCTGGCCGAGACATACCAAAGTCTTTAAAAATGGTAGTTTCTACTCCTGCTTAACGCTCAGCAAATTAGGAGTGGGACGACTGGTTCGCCCGTTGTCAGTATAATGTGACCGGGTGGGGCGTCCTGCTGGGTGTCTTCGGCAGTATGTTTCAGTGAGGTAGCACTATAAAGTCGGCATCAGTTCCGCGCTATCACAAGGAGACAAACACGAACATATCGCAGCCTCCCAAAATACACACACATACACTACACGCATGCATCTTGCACACAGGGGAGGCCGTCCTTAAATGACCTTAGCTGTTAATAGGACGTTAAACAAAGTCAAACAAACAAACAAAAAGGATCGGACCACGTCATTTCGATAGATATTACGGTAAAGTTAAATGTCACGCATACGGACGAAAATGTCTGTAAGGCGTTCTTAAGGGGATCATCACTCAGATTTAATGATTATAACACATTCAAGTTTTGTTCGAATACAATTATCAGTGAAACAGTAAATTATCTAACAGAAGACAGACGAAATAAATGCCACCCCTCCTTCTAACCGCACCCCAGAAATGTGGAGCCTCCCGGGTCCCTGTTCACGCAGAGACGTCCTTTGTCGACGTATCTAGAGAATTTAGAAAGCGTAAATTAGATGTATCTCAACAAACACTCGGAGAGAATGATTACTCCGACATATCAGGATAAGTCTAAACAAACATTATTGTAACTTATTATTGGGTCCGTATAGTTTTATACCACTTTGTTTACGTCTTTGATTGGACTTTACGTATCGTTGTAATTTAGTTCAAATATTAAACAGGGAAAGTATAAAGATGACCACCGTGCACGGGTGTGTGTAACTTCGGGTATATAATAATGAAGAATGAAGATGAGTTACACTTAAATGCCCTTTTCATCATGCGTCAGAAACGTATGATGGTGAAGCATAGATAGCAAAAGACGTCAAAGGGGGGAGGGGGATTAATGTTTATTAATTTGAAATTACGCTATAACTATATATTTTTGTGCTTAATTCATATGAGCTTCATATCACTAGTACCGAGTGTATGGGGATGGGATGGGCGGTATCGATGTCACCAACGCCGCCTTCAGTATCTAACGAATGACGGCAACATTTCTTTTAAAATAATTTTCTAACATACATAATAGTTTTATTCTTTAGAATTTCCGTCCTAAATCTGCACAAAAGATGTATTTGGATAGGAAATGAAATACATCTTTTATATCTTATGATTGACACAAAAAATTCCAGTATATGAAAACGTCGTTTTGTATGGTGACTATATATATGTATAACTTCTTTCAGATATACGATAAGCAATGATTCGTGTGTCAAGGGGTGACATGGAAAGGTTGAAAGAGTTAAGTGTTCATTCCGAATTAAAAAAGTACAAATCAAACTTTACACTGTATCTATTTAAAATTTTCATATTTTCAAACTCTTTTAAATATCTTAGCACGATTTTATTTTACTAAATTCTGAATTTAAGTTTCTAGTTGTCAGTAGAGTGAACATCCAGTCCTGTCATCATGGATTGTGTGTTGCTTGTGAAGAGTCATTCCTCCTTTATCACATCATTCATCTGTGTGTACGCCTTCTGTGACGTCATAATGAGTTTGCATTATTGATGACGTCATACTTTCTTGTGTAAACAACTATGACCTCACACTGCCTGTTTTCAAAATAAACACAGTCTCCTGGCCCCACTTGCACGAAACTTCTTAATTCTTAGTTCTCAATTCTCAATTGTCAGACTAAGTACGTGCTTAGCTGAGAAGTTCTCAAAATTGGCTTTCTCAAACACGTTCTCAAATATTTGAGAACGTTCTCAACTATGAACGTATTTCTCGTGAACTAAGCGGCCTCGCAGGGAACTCTTTCGCGAAAGAAGGAAATTTTGTTAC